ATTGCTTGCATTTTGCAGAATCAAGAAATGATTTAAACAGAACCTGTCTGACAACCTGAAGTAGGCTAAAGATTAAGTGAGCTTAAAGCCACCCTGTTCCGGTTCGAACTGATCGGAAACACAGTAGTCCCACAGTAGATGTGAGAGTAAATTTTACAGAGTTTGTTTCATTTAAACTTAAAAAAAAAAGAAAACACACTGAAGTGAAAGCGGGAAATAAAACCAGCGAAGGCGACTCTTCAGAAGGAGCCTGAGGCAGACTTGTGTGTTCGTTGGCAGCAGTTGTTCGGGACTGTTGATTCTTGCCCGGCGTGCGGCAAACACACAAACAGGGAAACACACAGGGAGTTGCCCAACATCCAAAGCGCTGCGTGATGGCAGGTTGGCGCGGAGACAGGTGATAAAATGATGTGTACCCAAAACACTTGGCAGCGGTCCGGCTGCCTGGCTCCTGATTTACTGCGTCTCTGCTGCTTCACGGGCCTCCATTAGCCTTTGTCTTCCCTCGATCCACGCTAGCTGCTGATGGATTAAAAAAGCAGGACGGGGTCACATGCTAGTAATATGAATCTTTAGTTACATGAAGTAACATAATGGCTGGAAATGATAGAAAATTCTCACAACTAAACTCAAATGTGATTTTGGCAGAGGCTGGTTTTAAGTAGTTATGCAAAACTTTCTGGTGAAGATTTAAAATCCTTTTAAGCTACAGAAAGAAACAACATGAAAACCTCTGAACAAGACAAAGAGCACAACTTCCTTCTTCACAAAATGTAAACAAAGATGGAGTATTATTATATTTGATCATTAGTGGGATTTTTCTTTTGTCGTCGGTAAATCTCCACGAGCCATTTCTCACGCTAGCAAGAGACTCCCGCTTTCCTTTGGGTTGTGTTTACCCACAATGCCCTCCTTTAGAGTTCGCTTCCTGCTTTTGGTGTTTACATAGACATTCGAACGTGTCAGAGTTAACTTCAGCCAAACGGAGACCAAGGTTTTCAGGTGAACCAGAGCCTGAACGAACCAGACTTTCTTGGCAACCAAACTACATTTCTATTAAAGCGGCTCAAGTTGAAGCAGGTGTAAATGCATCAAAAGTAACAATAATTATGCAGCAGTAGGAATAGTTGTTGCTTTCTATTCTAATTTTGTTTTCTGCCACACTATTCTAGTTTTATTCAAGGCTATCAGAGCGTTTCAATCTCTACTTCTCACCTCATCGTTTTCCATCCTTACCTCCTCAACCCCTTCTCCCCAGCTCTCTTTTCTTCTTTTCCCTGAGCCATCCATCTTCTGCATTTCTCCTCCTCTTGATAGAGAGGTCTGCGTTCAGACGTTGTGGAATCTTTATCCCCCCGCTGCCCTTCCCCTACCTCCCAATCTAAACAGCTCTTGAACCTTGACTCGTTCACGGCGACAGATAAGAGAGCCATCTAGGGTAAAACATCTCCTTTTCATTTATCTCTTCCTCTTCTCCCTCCGTCCCCTGACGCGGGGCTGTTTATCGGTGCAGCGGGTGTAAATTGTGTGTCGGCGTACACACGGTTGACTTATGCAGATGCTTCTCTGAGTTACAGGTTGCAGTTTCCCATTTAAAAGCTCTCATAAATTGCACTGAAATTTTTTTGTGATGAGGAGGCCTGTTACAAAAATGCACACTGGCGTCTTTTGGTCGCCTGACGAGAAAACACATCTGTCCCACTGCAGTACTAGACAGTGACTCCAAGAATCAGCATTTGACGCAAATATATGCAGTGTAGCAGATTAGCCTGTCTGATTTATATGTATGAGAATCATTCTTGTTGTATTAATTGCTCCACTTAACAGCAAGGTGGCCTCGTTTTCCTGGAAATATCTCATATTCTTGCCTTACACCCTTGTCCCTAGTGGGGTCGGGAGGGATGCTGGTGTCTCAACAGCTAACGTTCCTATCGAGAGGCGGGGTTAATCCACTAACAGTGGGGCTAATTTTCCGCTCTGTTGCCAACTTTTCAGCATGAAAAGTAGAAGTTGCTGGATGACGTCATTGCCTAGTTTTTATATTTTTCATCGTCTGAAAAGTTACGAAATATAACAGCGAAGTTGCTAAGTTGACTACAGTGACTTTTGTTTAGCGCTTTAGCTCTTTTGCTAACTTTGAAAGCGTTTAGTGCACGTAGCTTCTTGCTATTTTCACTTGATGAATTCCAAAGCGTTACTTTACTCGGCTGTTTTGTAAAGTTTCAGTTATAATAATGTTGGCCATCTGTGCCGAAGCTTTGAATTCTTCAAGTAGTTAGGCGTTTATGTTCATGCTCTTATTTTGAAGTGGGCAGAGACCGCGTTCACAACAATTCTGGTCTTTCTTTTTGTGTGGATTACTTCACCTCAAACAGGAAATATTGAGGAACAAAATAAAACACGGACAAAAGAGAACAAGATATGATCACAATTACAATATCTAAGGGCATTATATGTAAATTATTATTCCTAAATCAACTTAGTGCTAGAGGGCTGTATAGATATAACTTAAATCAACATTAAGCCTAGCTTCTGCTAAATACTGTATTGGTGTAGCGCTTTAGCATTAACTTTTGTGTCTGTAGAGCCCTAGCATTAGTGGAACTAATGTTTATTATTAGTTCTTTAGTTTTCCAGTTAGCAGTGTCCACCGCTGTAATGTTGACATGCTGAATCATCAGCAGTAATACCTGTAGCTCACACACGGTTTTCTGCTATGTTGTGCAGCCGTCTCCCCTCTGTTTACATTTTGCCCCCTTATGATCCAGACCCCTGCATCAGCTTATTTATATTGATCATAATCCCTCTGTAAACATGTTAGGCTTTAATGAGCTCAGTGAGGAAGTTGTGCTCTGCTTGAGGACGGCATCCCATGACCGCACAGTGGGCCCGAACGTACAAACTCAACATTAAGCCATTCACAATGGAGCATGTGCAGTAATGACTGCCTATAGCGCCTTTTGTCAGAATAAGGGCACCACAAATGAGCTATTGTCTGAATTAACCATTCTAAATCAGGCAAGCCCTCAGGGGCATGTTTTCCACACAGAGCCCAAGAATGTCTCTTTTATTTTTTTTTCTTTATGTGTGTGCATGTTGGTGTGTATGTGCGTGTGTGTGTGTGTGTGTGTGTGTGTGTGTGTGGTGTGTGTGTGTGTGTGTGTGTGTGTGTGTGTGTGTGTGTGTGTGCCTTTGACATCCACAGGCTGCTGAGGCTTTGGCACAGAGCCCTGCGTGGCTCTGACACCATCTGTAGCGCGTACGCTGGCATGAAAACCACTGTTTGCACACAAACTCACAAGCTGAAAAGTGCGTCAAGCGGCTCTGCATGCAGGAGGCTCCCATCGTGCGGAGCCTTGCGATAGTATTCACACCCGGTGAATCATTTTTTTTCTAACCACACCAACCGACATCTGAGTACTTTATTTAGATTGTGTGTGGCAATCACAAACTAGTACAAATATGGCAAAATAGAAGGAAAATAATTGTATTTTCTTCATATTTTGACCATCTTCCCTCGCCCTACTAATGAAGTGTAACCCTGCAGTATAGTGGTAATGGTATGGCACACAGCAAGCATGTGGAACTAGGTTCTCTGATCAGATGAAACCAAAACATTCTGGCCTTCCTGTTCTTTGCCATATGGATTTTGAGCTAACTCTGAAGCAACCACACACTGGTTGAAACACGGTGGCCGCCGCATCATGCTGTGGGCACAGCTGTGCAAAGCTGGTAGTTAGAGTTGGAAGGTGGTTGTTCAAAGTATTGAGACTGAATAGAAATGCACAGTTTTTATGATCATATGGATTAGTGGGTATCAACTCAATACCAAGTCAGCACAAGACTAGCATCGGCATACCGACACAGTTGTTTCAAAATAATTTTATTTAATTGGATATTTTGGTGTTTCAACTTATGATCATAATCGAATACAGAACAAAACAGGCAAACACAAGTGTTTTTTTTTAATAAACTAGGATAGAAAACAGTTCGGCAGCCTAGAAACGACAGAATTCCCGTATGTTGCATCATGTGCATGCGCAAAGTTTCCAGATGTAAACAGTAAATTGCAGCGTGTCTCCATGGATATGATGTCATCAGTCAAACTGCTTTACGCGGCGCTAACTTTGACACTGGTTTGCAGAAAGACACCTCCTTCTGATGCACATTGATTGAAGCCGCAGCCTTCCATCGATGTGCGTTTCCTTCTTCACGACTTTATCCACACCGTGACGCTCCTGCTCTCTCAAGACCCGACCATCGCCTCCCTCTGCCTCCTCCGGCCTCTTTGGGGATAAATCAAAAATCGTTCCCATTGTTGGAGTGAAGTTCACAGCAGGACTCCCGTCGAACAAATGGGACCTTATGAATCCCATGACCACGTACGACCACGTGTCCCTCGCCGTCTGTTATCCCCAGGCTACGAGACACAATGTGAGAGAAGAAGACGGCCGCAAATAAGAGCCTGTCTCTGTATAATACGCACATTGTCATATCGGTCAGCTGGATGGCTGCTGCTTCTTTTCTTTTCTTTTTTTTAAAATGTTTTTGGAGAAGAAGCTGGAGGACATTCTGGAATCTAACAAGTCCTCACAGATACGAGAAACGAGTATCTTCTCTCTGCCGGGTTCTCCTCCCGTCCCACTTTCTTTTCTTTTCCATGAGCCAGGTGCATGAAGGGTCCACGATTTTGCTATGAAATAATAACGCCGAAATGCAAACTTCTGTTGTAAATAACATTTAAAATTGCTAAGCTAAGCTAAAGATGCATTGAATTGCTTTTAGTACATTGTAGTATTTTGTCATTTTTATGTTTCCACTAATTTTGTTTTAGTTTCTTTCTTCATTTTTATCCCGGAGTTAAAATGGAGAGCACTTCTGCTCCCTGTCGTAAAGTGCCTTATACATAAAATGTGATTGATTTTTCTTCTAAATATTTGACTCTCAGAGCCATTGAAGACTCATTCACGTAACGTTTCATTTATATTTTTTTTCCGCAGAACCGTCTTGCATGGTGAGGCTACTTTCCAAGGACTGGAAGGATCACGTCGAAGGCCTCAACGCCAGCGAGCTGCTGGGGGAGGTCAAAGGTGAGAACACAAACGTTCGAGATCCGAACTGTTACTGAATGCAGCTGCTTCTGTTTGAGGGATGTTTTTTAAAAAAACTAAAAGGTCAGGACAAATATTAAAAACAGTTGTTCGCCGGTTAGAGGGATGCCGGTGTGGAAAAATTATTGCGTGGCCTTAAAACTTGATCCTTTTTTTTAAAGGAACAAAACACTTTGCTAAAGAAATGCAATAAGGTTTCATTATGGTTTCTTTTACGAGTTTGTCTAGAAACGTAGCGGAAGATGGAATTTGTTGGAGATACGAGTTAGAAAATATACAGGAAAGACTCTGCTGCTTTGATTTTGATATATATGTAAAAAGAAAATGAGACTTTGGTCTACACTTTGTGTTCTTTATGTTCATGCCATTTTAAATATTGTTTACTTCTGCACTAGTTTTTTGACTTGAGCATAGAAATTATTGTTTATTTATAAAAGTCTGACAGGAAAACTACAAATCTTTTCAAACCGTCCACATCTAGAGCTCTACTTTTCTCCTGAGGCTCGTCCAAACACAAGTAGACTCATAATACAATCAATCAACATGAGCAAAAAAAAAAAAAAACATAAATAATAATAAAAAATCAGGGCTATTTTCCATAGGAATTGACTAAAAATGCTATGCTTATCTCCTGAATGCACTTTGAACACATGAAAGCAGGAGCGTAAACGCCCTCCTGGCCTACCTACGGGTTATAATTGTATCTCTGATTAACGGTTGGGTTGGAGGGGAGAGGCGACACGAGCCCCCGGCTTTCTGTCCGCATCAGCAAATAGCCTTTATGAGGCTATAAATCGCAGCGACAAAAGTATTCTGGAGCTGGCTCTGGTATTCAGATGTAAAAATAGCGATTCTTCTGCCGCAGTTTGATTTGGCAGCTCCAGCTTGAGAAAATCAGACGCTTGTCACCATTTCATCTCACAACAACGTGCATCGCTGTGTCACCGTCTCACTATGCCTGGTAAATATAAACAGACAATCGCTCTCTCTCTGTTTCTCTCTTCGTCTTAGAAGTGGGGATTGAAGGTTTGAATTGAGTTTGTTTCGGGATCTTTAATTTATCCGTGGAAATGAATCGCTCTTTAATCAAAAACTACACATCGACGAATGAAACATTTTGCTGCTGATTGTGCGTCAGAATTACAGTCGTACCAGAAACGTGTGAACACAAAGGTTCCGGCTTGGGAGATTTATTGTTAAAAAGTAAATAAGTGAAAGCAATTTATCGCATTAGTTTTTTTACTTAATATATTTAAAATTAATGTGTTGCAGTAGCATATGAATAACAGTTTAAGAGAAACATCTGCGTATGTATTTAAGTACCAATAACCTGCTTGTAACATTTTATGTTACATGTGGAGGACAAAGTGAGCCTGAAAGATTCATCCAGTGTTGGAGTTTTGCTTCGATTCTTTCACGCATGTTTGAGAAATCCTTTCATGTCCATGGCAACCATTCAGCTGTGTATATCGCCTGGGTGGACCTAGACCCCCTACCCCCTTCGAGGACGAAGCTCCTCCTCTGAGCTGCCGTTTCCAAACTTTGGTCTCACCGAACAGCCGCCCCCCACTTTGCTCCTTCAAACTAGCCAGCAGCAATTAGCAAAAGCCTGCTGAGCTCATTATACGAGCGCCTTCTCAGTGAAACGCTGGTAAAAACTTTCAAGGGTTGATAGTGGAGCCATGTTGTGAAGACTTCCTGAAGGCAGAGTTTTAGAAAGAACAGGAGTTTTCAAAGAGACAGAGGCCCAATTTCAAGGCATTAAATTAATTAATCAAATTTCTTCTAAGTAATATTTAATAAAAACATCATTTTCATGATGTGACTGAAGGTCACATGTCTTGTCACACATAACCGACTTTAAGCAGTAAAGTCTGTACTTTTATGAAATTCGCAAGTCACATAACAGGATCTGCACTCCTACCGTTGGAAAACCTGATGAGGAGTCAGACAAAGTGAGGTTTTCAGTCTCGGATGATTCGGCAGATCCTGCTCGCGCGCTCTAACGTTCGTCATTAGCGGCCGTCCTCTCAGTCAGAGAGAGAGAGAGAGAGAGAGAGAGCCTGTTTGTGATCGTCTCCTGTTGAAATGGCAAGAATTTCCTCTGTGGAAAAATCAACTACAGAGAGTCTTCTGCAGCAGAACAGGCCAGACATTGAGTTTCATTTCAGCCCAGAAATCTGCCCTCCCCTCTCCGCCCCTCCAAGCTTCCCCCCTCCTTCTCTTAATTGTGGCCAACTCCATCTCCAATTACCGTAGCAGAAAAAAAAGAGAGACTGCTTTTACATCCGTAAGCACCTTTTGCAAAGTAATAATTGGACATCTGTTACAAGCCTGCTAACTCGAAAAGAAGCCTTCCTGTCGAGTCGTGCTTCTGGAAATTACAGAAGCTAAAATGACAAGCGCCAACACACCCAGTCTGCTGCCTGGTCTCTAACCTTCATTTTGGGATGCTTAATACAATTATGCAACAAACAGTATTAGTCAGTGGCCACCGCTGAGACCCTCGGTGTGGAAATACTGATGGACACTGGAAGGAAAAGTCAAACCTATTTGTCTCTTCACGTCATTCAAAGTACCTAACTGAAGTTTGGTGAAAAGCTGGCCTCCTGCTCCCCGTTGAGATGGACGCGTGGGCACAGGAGCGTTCTCCATCTCGGAGCTCGCAGATGTCTCCGTTCCCCCCGCCCAGCTGAAAAGGAACACCCTGATTGGAGCGGAACGGTTTATTTCTCCGTGTCGGTCTGGCTGACCTAAATACGCAAACACAACTGTTGCTTAGTGCCTCCTGACACAACAACCTGAACTAGCTTGTAAAGTCACAGTTACTTTGAGGGTGAGGAAAACCGATGACCCTGTTTAATTTATTACTGCTCGGAGTGTGTGCGCGCGCGGCAGTAAATGTGTGTTTTATTCAAAATGTCTGGTGGGAAATATGTAGAAGACAGATACCCAGTGTTTTGGGGGGTGAGTTGTGCTGTTTGTGATGTCTCCTCTTGAAGCTTTCTGGGCGTTTTTACGTCTGATAGTCCGATAGACTCGGCTGCATTGGGGACTAAAGTTAGGACGTTTGTTACGTTTTCAGCTGCTGCTGTTCGCTGTGTCGAACTAAACAAATTATTTGAAAAGCCTATTTCCCTCCTCGCCTGAGGTGGCGCTGCACTTTATGCTGCTGAAGGAAATGACACAAAAACCTCTGAAGAAGACACTTGAGCGCAACTTCCTTCTTCATAAAATGATTTTTTTTAGAGGTTTTAGAGATTTTAGAGGTTGTAGGATTTCTCTCTTGTTTTTGGCAAAAGACCAAAATAAACACATTTCTCGTGTGTTTATTTTGGACTCGTTTACCCAGAATGCCTTGGGCTGTTGCCTGCTTCCTGCTTTTGGAGCGGTCTCAGGTCCGTTTGACGTTCACAGGGCCTATGACTTTAAGAGTTGGTTAAAAGTTTGGTTGTTTGGTAGGCATCAGAGCTCGATTGATCGTTCACACCTCGACAACCAAACCAGACTTTCTGGACAACCGAACAGGAGTTGGATTAAAGTGGACTGAACAGGGCCGGTGTGAATGAAACCCGAGTCCAAAGTGTTATTTGTTCTGGAGTTATTTCTCCTGTCACCTGGAAATATCTTAGTTGACATGCTGCAGTCTTGAAACTCGTCTGCAGAGTTTACCTGCAGTTCTAAAGAGTTCCTGAATCTCTCATGAAGATTCAGGATCTTGTCCAATCATGTTTTTTAGCTGTAATATTTTACAGATTTTATATATTTTTCCTGGCTGGTACCAATTTCTGTTTTTTTTTTTTTTTTTTGTCTGACTTGCAGACCTGGTAGTTGTTTTCCCAGGATTTTATTGGAAAGGAAAGAAATAGAAGCTGTTAGAGATCAAAGTTTTCAAAAATCGTCAAATTTTGCTCTCCGGCAATCAGTGCACCTTGATGTTCAAATGTTCATTTGTCAGGAAATTCAAAAAGTAAGAGATTTTGTCTCTGCTAAAGATAAACTTTAATTATTTTTGATGTAAGAAAAAGAAATAAGGAACAAAATGGTGTAAAATCTTTCCTAATAATCCACATGGTTTTCTTTGCATAGTTTAAGCCTCTTGATATTTTTTTTTCCTTAAATTATTTTCCAGCATTTACATTTAAATCTTTCACCGAAACTCAGTTAGTAAAGCAAAAGAACAGATGGATCGAGAGTGTCTCATTATAATGTTAGATGCATGAGCTGGCACATCTGGCTGCAATAATCATATTCACATTCAAGCGTCTACTCCACGATCTTACTTTTTTTGCCGTTATTTCTTATTTTTCACATGAAAACATAAGTTTCTGTCCGTCCGTCCATCCATCCGCAGTAGCGAACTGACGTCAACCTGAATATTTTCAGATTAGATTTCACATCATTGCAGCCTCCAGATCTGGGTTAAACATATCGACTGATACAACTTTAGCCCACAAAGTGAGATGAAGAAAAAAATTCAATCTATTTGGTCGTCTCCCTGAAAATGTCTCAGCTTCTGCCAGAGGAGAAAAGAAGGGAGCTCCTTTCAGAATATCCTTTATAGAAAGAAAATTTGACGCTAGATATGGTCATTTCTGATTGTTACACAATAACATTACTGCATGATGTCTTACCAACCTGATATTGTCAATACAGCTGGTCTTGGGTTGGTCTCTATACTTTTTTTTTTAGGAAAAAAACAACTTCCTGGCTCAGAGATTATTTTTTTCCAAAGATCTGTCAATCTGAGCAGTGGCACACGAAGTTCTGCATTAAAAAGTAAATGGGGTCAGAAACTTCAAAACAGTACTGCTACCAAAAGGAACAGCAGCTCAAAACTTTTGTATTCAACATCAACAAAACTTTTTTTTTCTTTCATTCATTTTTTTTTTGTATTTCTTAAGTTATTTTATGTGGTCATTTGTAAAGATCCATCAGGGCTTCATCATTCTTATTATTTTGAAATGATATTTTCCCGAAACAGAAAAATATCAAATATTTGAACTCATATGTTTTTTTTTCAATCATTTAAAAGCAAAATTGAAAATCTTGATTTCGTCGATATATTTGATTAAAATTCGATCAGTTTTGATCAATAAAATACAGACGCCTTATAAAAGTATATGTTGCTTTATGATGGCCAATAATGTGGACTTATTGCACGGATATTTTAATTATACATAGATATCTTTGCATATGTGAGGTTTAAAATGAGTCAGGATTTGTTTTAAACCGAAACTAAATGTAACAGTAAAAAAAAAAAAAAATACCCCAAAACCCACAGAGGACACAGGAGTTCTGGTTAAGACGCGGAACATCCACATCGCCCAAACCGAGTGAGAAAACAGCTAATGGCTTCTCTGTTTTGGCCCGTGACCTCAGCAGGCGTCAGGAATAATCCTGACGGATAGGAAACGGAAATATCTCTTAATGTCGCTGGTGCCAGAAAGCGTCGAAGGAACGCACAGCAGCGCGTCTGGAATGCACAGCCCGTAATCCGCAAAGATGAATGATGGAGTCGTAATCGCAGTTGTTGAGATTACACAATAGGGTTTCACTTTCTGCAAAAAAACAAAAACACATGGGGAAACACAAAAGAAGTCTGTTTATATTGCGTGTGTGTGGTTATATGGTTATAAAGCATCCATCAGTGAAAATCCAGCCAGAGGAGCGGAGAGAACAGTAGTAAGGATAGATGGGTGAAGAGGAGTTAGAAAGGGAGGAGCAGGAGAAAGAGTTTTAGAGTTGAGAAGAGAGAAAGTCGTTGACGACAGCAGATGCCAGAAAGGAGCAGGAGAAAAGCAGAAGGCTTGAAATCTATAAATGATCTAAGAAGGGAGTGAACTAAGACTAAAGTCAAACAGAAACTGGAGAATGAAATGAGACACAAATGTGGAAAAGATGGAAGTGAGAAAACCAGAGGAGAGCGGGGTAAATCACAACGGGACACAAAGGGAAGAAAGACGAGGCTTTAGGGAGAATCTGAACTTGGAGGTAACTGCAATGTGCAGGACTTTAAGTAAGAATCAAAAAGAAAATGAAAACTTAAAAAGCAACGAGACAAGAAGAATGTTGTCTTTGAGTCAGGGCTGCTGAGGGGTGATTTCTCTGCTTGTGTGTGTGTGTGTGTGTGTGTGTGTGTGTGTGTGTGTGTGTGTGTGTGTGTGTGTGTGTGTGTGTGTGTGTGTGTGTGTGTGTGTGTGTGCGTGTATAAGAGTGTGTGTGTCTGTGTTGGAGGACAGTCTGGGGTACAATAGTGGCCTGACAAGACCACAATGGAGACTTTGTTAGTATGCAGGTAGTGTTGGGGGCCACCCAACAGTCTCCCTACATGGCCCCAAGGCAAGACCTTACACACACACACACACACACACACACACACCCACGCACACACACACACACACACACACACACACACACACAAGGACTGGAACTTCTGAACATGATAAACTTCAGTCCATGTGCAAGATTTACGTACAACCAGGGACACCCCCCAACCCCCCTACCACACACACACACACACACACACACACACACACACACACACACACACACACACACACACACACATGCAGTCAATCAAAATGAATGAAGCTGCATCTGAGCTCTAGAACTTGTTAGAAAGTTAGAAAAATGTCAAAAAATGTACTTCTGCAAAGACACAACCACAAAAGTTTCGAGGCTACTCCTCTTACTATACAGGCTGCAGATGCGTCACCTGATGCCTTCTTTTGTTTTTTTTTAAATAATAAATGTAAAAATGAATAAATTTTTTCCTTATGAGATGAACTCAGGCATGCACAAGACTACTAATGGACACCCAGTTCAACTTCTTGTTGTTTCATTGCATTAGGTAGACATGATGCTGCTTCCACATCACCTTGTCCTGGTAACATCACAGCTTCCTCATTTGTAACGCCTCACCACAGCAGTCAATGAAGTCAGCGATAAGTGTCAAACATACTGGATGCCATTTAACGTTATCGCAGGGGTTGAAGATAATGAGTACAGACATTTTCTCCCTTTTCATTGGTTTACTTTCTCTCTGTGATTTCCGAGGACCTGTAGGGTTTAGAGCTGGACTTGCTGCCACTGAATTTAGGGCTGCAGCGTATTGTCGACTCCTCCGCTGCTGACGGATGAGGATGTTTGTGGTTGTGCAGTGGTTTGATTGTTTGCTGAGAAATGATTGAGCCTGGAGAGATGGTTTGGTTCAACTTTCCAGCTTCTTTCAACCGAGCTAAAGAGCCGTCGTCCCTTCTAAGAGAGAGTCGGCTGTCAGTTAATCCTCACTAATAATAATAAAGTAAGTGAGTTTTTGCAGATTTTTATTTACACTTTTTCCCCTCCTTCTCCCTGGGAGAGGGGGAGGGGTGCAAATGGATCCACTTACTGTTGACCAGAATTGGTGTTAATAAGTCAGGTAAAGCTTATGAAAGACACAAGGGCATAGAGAGAAATATTCCTTCCAGCTCTACTGAAATGTTCTGTTCCTTTGTTAATTAAAAGGCAAATGTTAGTCACACCTTCTCGGCTTTTGTCTTTGCTGCCGTGTGAAGTGTTATGGCTGCGGAGTAAAAGCTGGAATGTTTCTGGTGTCGGCCCACAAACCTCTCAAGAATGTCTAAATCATAAACCCGACAAAAGTCTTCTGTCTTGAACACCAAGACATTTTCAAAAGGTGAACTCAATCTAATTTTATTGTTCTTGTGAGCAGACACTGGTTGATGGCGTGTAGGGACAAGACAGAAGATAATAAGTAGTGAGATGTAACAACAAGTCAGAAGATGTATGGGAATTGAGGTATGAGCATTTTTCATGGGGCCAAACAAGTTGTTTTGTTTTTTTTTGTTTTGTTTTTTGTGCTGGTATCTGTGAAAGGAGTGCTTCCATTGTGACATTTGGGAGAAAAAGAAAAAGAACTCCTGACTCTGGAGAATTTCCTAATCATGTTAGCATCTGGCTTTCAACTTTTCTATTTTGATTTGTTGAGATGAATCTCCATGAGTTTTTCACTCTCCGGGAATTTTGACGTGATCTTAGCAACCGTCACTGTTGTGTTTCGTTTAATGGCCTCATAGTAAAACAAATATGTCTCCAGGTACGCCCGAGTCGCTCAAGGAGAAGGAGCACCAGCTTTCCACCATGATCGGTCAGCTGATCAGTCTGCGGGAGCAGCTCCTGGCCGCCCATGACGAGCAAAAGAAGATGGCCGCCTCGCAGCTAGAGAAGCAGAGACAGCAGATGGAGTTGGCCAGGCAGCAGCAGGAGCAGGTATGAACGGTCCGGTCCGGTGCTGGTGGGCATCAGCACTGAACGGTTCGGCCAGCTCCACTCAGAAGATGTCAAATACACCTGTTCATGTCAAAGTTAACTGATACTTTCAAACGAGAAGTATTTCTAGATGTATCAATGTAGATAATGAAAATCAGTTTTGCTGTAGACCAGCCAAGCCAAACAAATTCAAATCCAGCCAACATATGTATGTGAACGCAATTTGGATTTTGATAGGTCTGATGGGTCCCAAGGTTCAAAACTTTATTTAGGACCAAGGCCTGTAATTGATGCTTTTAGGCCCAATCCAAACTGTGATGTGCAGTAAATGTAAGTCTAAGTTGAATATGAATGAATTGTTTTTGCAAATCGAGTCCAAGTCAGAAGTTCAGATCACCATCAAGGAACACATTCATTTAGAAATGAATGCATAAACAAATCAACAAAACTTTCAACACACGTATCGAAAGACTGACTGATTTGTACTAGTTGCATTACAGGAGGCAAAAATTATTCAAGGAAATATTATGCTTTCCTAAAATGGTGAGGATTCCCAAAGAGAAAACCTGTTTTCTTCTTTCTACATTTTATTGTCATTATATTTGATCTCTGCTTTGTTTTCTGGTACTGCTATGTGTAATTAGCAAAATTAGTCTTACTTAAGTTTAATGCGCTCCTATTAAAAAGTTGTTTATGTGGTCAGGCTTAAGGAATCGCTCGGTTTCTTCACATTATTAAGTAAGTCTATAAAACTCCCAATCACGCCTTGGTAATCTTCACGTCGTCCTCCGATACCCTTAAGCGTACTTTCTTGGGGGTTTTGTTTTCCCGTGCACGTACACATTCTTTATGGATTTACTTTATGTAATTTTTTTATTTTGCTGACTTTAAAACGTGTGGCTGCAGTGTGTTAATCCAGATGTGAGTCTTCAGGTCAATGACTAAACATTTGAGAGAGCAAACACAAGCAGAGAGGTGTTTTAGGTGCGCTGCTCCTCTTTGTTTTGGCTGTTTGTCGACATGTCACCGTGGGCTGGCATACGACAGGCTCTGTTTGGACACGTCCACACCTCCCATCAAAACACATACCACCTTTCAGAGCATTACAAAGGAGCAGGCGAAGTGGGGAGAGTGAGAAGAAAGACAGATTCCAATATCAGCCAGTCATTTGGCTGTTGAGACTTGATAGGATAATGCCCTACAGACAAACCCCAGAAAAATCTGCTTTTAATGAAATATGACATGTGTGCAAATGGGGCGCCGCCTCCCATTCAGAAGCCTGTAATTATGTTTCGGAATAAATATACTAAACGATTCCTCAAGAAAAAGAAAAAGGAGAGAGAAGCAGCTGTTTTCCTTTTTTTCTCTCTCTCTCTTCCTTTTTTTTTTTTTTTTTTTGCTCAAAATGGGTGGAGGTGGTCGACCGACAAGTTCCCTCCTTTGAGGAGTCTGAGTTTTTACAACTGGCAGGTCCTGGCAGCCATCACTGGACAACACTAGAGCCTTTAACGAGAGGAGTTTGACATTCAGCGATCTCACGTTAATGAAGATGATGGCTGCTTGTGTTTAAGAGGGGTCCAAATGTTTTCAAGGTGTTGTAAACATGTCAGTCTCAAAGCTTTATTGTAACTTGAGATGTCTTCATGACCCACACTTCCACCGGTTAGATGTTGGACGTGTCGTCGACCTCACATGGTCAAGTAGCTTCAACAAAAGCCATCTGACATCCACCATATACGGAGTTCATGACTGACATGCTTTTTTTCTATCTCTTTCTCTTTTTTTTCTTTTCAGGTGAGCCACAGCTTTATATTACTTTTTTTTCATCTTTCACAGTTAGCAGTTAGCTCTGAAGACGATACGAGATTCTTCTCCTTTGCTTTTCTTTCGATTTCACAAAATAGAATCAATGTGTGATAAGTATAGAATAATTCAATCCAAGTTTAATCAGTATGACAACTTGGAATTTATGAAGTAGAAATCATAAAGTTCTAAACATTTACCTAAAAATATAGTGAAACACCCCTTAAGGCAGTAGTTCCCAAAGTGTGAGGCGCGCCCCCTAAAGGGGTGCAGTGCCATTTCTGGTGGTGGGTGGAGGGTGATGGTTTGTAGTGTGTTTTGTTGCAACCTGAAGTGTGAAATAAACTTCAGTGCAGTTTGAAAACAAAATATGTGTTTAGGTTTATGTCTGCTTGAACGATGTGTGCCCAGTTGATTTATTTTTCTTTTTTGGGGGGCTGGATCTTATCGTAATGCATAGGAGGGCCCAGAAAATCTTTGGGAATCACTTTCTTAAAGTTACCAATGTGTAATGCTGATGCTAATTTTAGCTAACAGTCACTATCAGTTAGCCAGTTGCTAACAGTTAGATACATTTAGCAACTGGCTAACTGTTAGCTAGTTTGCAACAGAGAGTTCTTTTCATTTTTGCTCATTTTCTACCGACGACCCAAATGTTCCAAAATTGTCCATATTTCATACTTTATCAGTCAAAATTTGTTCTAGTATCAGAGCAGCATAAAAATGATAATTTTTTCAATAATCTTTGATCAGTGTATTTTCATCCAGTTCAGTTTTCACCACTGTAAGAATTTATAACTGGGATCCAGTTAGCTCTTCAGGTTAGGAATCAATGAAGCACATGCTAACTTCAGCGGTCTAATGGTTAGCCAGCTGTTAGCCAGCAGTGGATTTCTGACATTGTTTACAAAATGTTTTTATCTTTTTATTGCTGCCATTATTTCTTCTTACCACAGAGGAACCAAACGGTTTATTGCTAATGTACTTGTTTGGTAGCCCGGCTAATTGAAAATACTAAATACTTATGCAACAGGTTGTCCAGCTGAAATTGCTCGTTTTCACACTTTTGCTCATGATATTTCGTTAAACTTACTTTAACAGACAATTTAAAACGCTGACATCAGCTGGCTACAGCAGAAACGTTGAGATATTTTAGTTTTTTTTCTTTGTTTTTATTTTACCAGATCATATGAAATTCTGACATGAGCTCTGTCAACGACAAGTTGTCACAAAGAACGCCATCTTTTGTTGCTCTTGTGTGTGCAGATTGCCAGACAACAGCAGCAGCTTTTGCAGCAGCAGCACAAGATCAACATTCTCCAGCAACAGATTCAGGTTAGTCGGCAGACGCATTTGTTCATTTTTCAAAACACGTTTCTGCTCACATCTTTCACTCTTGGTTTGCTGTTGATGTTGCGTCACCCTTCCTTCGTTGCAGGCCACGTCCAAATGGAATAGTTTGTGAAACTGAGATCTTACATTCAATTTGGACATACCAAAAGTAAAATATGTTTAAAAAGCCCCATCTGTGTTTGCAGAGGTCACTCAAAACAGTGGAAGAATTACATTAGATTAGGATTTACGACTGTAGTCCAGCCATTTTTAGTTGGTTTATTCTGTATCTGTCCTGCTTTACCTCAACTCTGTTTTAATTTAAATTTAAATGGAAGCAAAAGAAAGTGAGAAGATGCAGAGAGAAGATGCATAAAAAAAGGTGACTGTTTTTAGAGAATGTTTAACCAGCACTATGTCAGCCATGCTTAGGAGCTTCTTCTTCTGAAAATTTGACACAGTTAATGTTAATGATGGGAATCTATCGATCAAAGCAGATGATTTTTTTCAAATCCAGAGGAATATATATGAAACATTTCTAAAGCCATGATGTGATGAAGTCCTGGAGGTGGAGTTTCAGAAAAAGTGGGAACTTTTAAACAGAGAGACATTAAATTATGAAGTCAAATTTTATTGAAGTCATAGTTGATATACACAGCATACAACTGAAGGTGACGTAACTTACTTGATTGTTCTGTAAAATAGCTGGAAAACATAATGCTGCCCCTTTAAGAAAGTCATTCCCAACTTGGTGATTTAGCCTTTATACCAAATAAAAACTGAAACCATTGTCTGTCTGTAGATCACCTGCTGGCATGATACTTTTTGCATCGATTGCTCCAAGATCAACATCCCAGAATTCCCAAACCTGCCTGCGTTTTGTTTTCCTCTCCTCTGACTCCACTATTCAGCATGTGTTTGTCCTTGTGCATTAGCATGTAAAACTCTCTTTTTTCATATAGACTTTTTGATCAAATTGCAGCTTTCCTCGTAACTTTCATCAGTCGTGTTCCTCGTATCGCCTCCTCTCTTGTTTTGAAGTCGTATCGTGTTGGTTTGGCTCTTCCGTTCCAAACCACTGCATCCAGACTCGGCACCAAAATGACCCCCGACTGTGAGCCAAACGCTGTCAAATTTGCACACTGTGGCTAATGGCCACGTGGGAAATTTGCTCCGCGTTTGATCTGCTTATTTATTTATTTATTTTTTCACTCTTGTTTTAGCGCGCAGGCTAAATTAAATCACCTCTCGAGCCAAAGCCGAACACACTCAGCGCTGCGACGTGCGATGCTTTACCCCCCGTCACGTCTCCCTGCCGCTCTGGAGGTGTGATAGAGTTAATGAGGGCTTGTTTCCCCCCCATTCCCACACTCTTTAAGTTTTTCCTTTTTTTTCTCCTCTTTTTACTGCGAGACCCCACCTTTGGATCTTAATAAAGCTGCGATCGGACTTCATTAGGATTCTCAGCCCCCGGGGGGAGAACGAGCGAGACCATAAAGCCTCCCGTCACCCTCCCCCCCACATACCCCTCCGCCGCTCGGATCCTCTTCCACGCTGTGAGGCGGCGGATACTGTGTCATGTTTGGTTTTGAGGATGAAGAGACGTGCGGAAAACAACTCTCCGTAGCGCCTCGTTATTGCGTGGGGCTTTCAGGAGCATCAGCTGTGTAGCTGCCGCTTTGCGCTTGTTCTTTTTTTCCCAGCATGCTTCCACAACTCTCTCTCTCTTGCTCTGTCTCTCTCTCTCTCTCTCTCTCTCTCTGTCTCTCTGTGCAACATTCCAGAACGCCGGGAGAAATCATTTGTTTTCATTTTAAAAGCCACTTAGCAATAAATCCCTCCACCCGCCCCAACCCCCCGACGGCGGGGTTACAGCAACTTTTTGTCGTTTATTTAAAGAACAATAGCCCCGTCTTGGCACAGCCGGCCCGACTTAGCGAGAAGCATATGGTGGGTCTACTGTACGGAGGTGTAGAGTTATTATGGCTAAGCTCCAGGGTTTAGTCGCTGGGGTACGGGCTGTTTACGCTGTGTCGGATGTGTGTTGGGCCTTAAACACACAGGCAGCGCGGCGGCGGTCTGGTTCCACTTATCAGTTCCAGACCTGAGCTTCACTCAGGCCAATGCTCAGAGGAGCTGACCGACTGCTACTGTTTCAGCCTCGGCCCCGCCGCCCCTTCACATCTCAATTCAGAGAAAAGCTAAATCTCGTCCAGATGCTGCGAAGAATAGATCAGCGCAAAGTGGAACATTTATTCGCGCAAAGCCTCCTGTGTAACGAAACCAACCCAGCAACAGCGCTTACAGGGAACGTTTTTATTTGTACTTTTTTTTTTTTTTTGGTGTCATTGTGGACTTTAACATGCTACAGATCAAGAGAAGTTCGAAACAAGCCGGAACGCTTTTGTTTTTGTTTGTTTAGTTGTTGTTTTTTATTGTACATGTTCCTGTTTCCCTGCATGGTGTGAACGTGTTTGTCAGCTCATGTGGGGCGGAGCGGAGTTCAAAGTGTCCTAGGTTTCCTGTCATGTGGTTTTAAATGGTTCAGAAAGCCAGCAGGAGACGAGCAGGGGTTAAAGAAATGCTTCCGAAGGCCTCATTCTGCTAGATACGCTTACAAAACGTGAACACAGAGGAGCCAACAAATGCAAGGCTTGGGGAAAAAATAAATCACTTTCCTCCTGATAGAGTCTGCTGGGTTTTTAGGACACCTGAATGTTTCAGATCATCAAGTGACATCTAATATAACACAAAGCGTACATTAGTAAACATATAAATCAGGGCGTAAGCTATTAATTGTTTTTGTGATTAATCAATTTATGAAGTAATCGGCAACTAATTTTGCAATCGATTAATCATTAACTGCAGTACGTAGACTAAAAGAAATTATATTTGCTGAAAAGAATCAAAACATTTTTTATGTATATATTTCTGATATTGTACAAGAAAGGCTTAAACAGTTTCATGGAAAATCTGCAGGATGTGTTTGTTTTTTGTTAATCGATGTATTGATTAATCATGAATCGATAGATTAATCAATTACTGAAGTAATGGTTAGTCGCAGTTTTCAAATGATGTTATCTGATAATGGTAAAAACAGCAATCCAAAACCAACATTACTGTTTTAAAACCAGTTTTCAAACTGGTTTCAAGACAGTAGTGACCTTCTTGGGTAAAATATAAACAACTTTAGTTGGTCTAATTCTTTTGGTTTAGTCTAATCAGCCACATCCAGGCTGGGAGTAAAAAAATAATTACACGGGACCCGTCTGACAACATGAAGTCAGCTGAACATGCAACATGTCGAAGCCCGATCCAAAGAGATCCAAGAAACATGACTAATCGCGTCATTAGCTATGTTTATGTCGAATTGTGATGTAAATTTTGAGCAAACTTTTAAAATGTCCTAAAAAAAGAGATAAAACATTTCCATCTTCTGGTTTGGAGCGAATCAGCCACGCTACAAAAAGCCTAATTCTGCCAGATGTTGACACTTTGCAGGACTGTAACAAAACGAGAAGTAGAATGAGCAAACTAGCCTGGACCAGACATCTACGAAAAGCAGACAGAGGTTTTTAGGAATGTGTTGCCTTTTGGTCGAGTTGGTATTGGCGATGTTACACGTTGTCTGGAGACGCAGAGAAAGAACAGGAAAGAAATCAGTAATCTGAGCTCAGAATGCTTTCCCACCCTGTTAGCGCATTAGCTCTTTTTTTTTTTTTTGGGAAAAGCCAACAACCACGTTTATCGGACGTGAAAATCTTCGTTTTGGAAGATTGAGATTGTTGCTGGACGTTGTACAGTTTATGTCCACCTTTTGTAACGGAACACTTAAAAATGCACATCAAAAAATAATTGATGGAAACCCGGTTATTGACACCTATCAGTCTGGAAAGAGTTACAAAGATCACAACAGAACATGTGAAGCGCTGCAGACACCAGGTGTTTCACTGAAGTTCATTGGCTGCATTTCCATTCACCTTAAAATTGCACAATTTGGAATGACAAAATAAATTTGCTTGATGGAAACACGCCAGTTAAAAAACAATGAACTCAAGTTTTTTTTTAGCCGGCTTTTTGGCTGGACCAAAAGCAGCGAGTTTCAGTGGAAACACTTTTTCCTCATCAGACGTGTCATGTGACCAACTTTCCAAAAATACGAAGCCGACGACAGAAAGTGGCATGAGGATGATATTGATACTGAGTTATAATGTGAACAAACTTATTCATGTGATTCTGATCGTGCTTTTAATTTCATTTAAACGCAGCAATTCCGAAATTGTGTTGTTTGTTTTTTTACCTTAGAGGAATATCAACGTTTTGTGCCACTTTGTAATGGAAACGGCGCTCGCGTTGACGACTCGGCATGAAGAAAGAGATTGAGCGAAAACACAAAGGCTCACCTCACATATCGATGATCACTCAAGACTTTTGTCTAAATATCCTGCTGACTGATGATACTTGTCAACTAAGAAAATATCACAACAGTGAGACATTGCGGTGGTAGTTTGCTGACATTTTGCCCTTATCGATGAAACAACAAAAAACCCTGCAGCCTGTCAGTTTCAAACCCTTAGATCAGGTGCACCTTCGCCTTTACTCACGTCGCCTTTTGTCTGGAGTTAAAATTAGCTTGACGAGCTGAAAAATGCAAGTAAGCCAGAACAGCCAAACCGGAGGAAATCACGTGCGCATTTGTTTTCAGCGCTTTGCCAAGAAGAGACAATTGGCGTTAACGCGTAATCACGCACATGTGGACAGTTCATGCCTTGCTCCGGCACAAACAACGTACGCACACGCGCTCCTAGCGGTGGCGGGGCCCTTTGTGTGTGCCGTATGAGCCGAGTGGCCCAGCCCAGCCTGGTGGCTGACAGGCATGTGTCTTTGTTAAGTCAGTTCCTATAATGGCTCTCATATGTGGCCCATTTCCTTCAGGCCCACAAAGACGCAGGCCCTAACCGCACCGCCCGGGCCCTAGCTAACTGGCTAATTAATGACTGCAA